AAAGTAAACAGACCTGAAAATCTAGGGTATGATTATTGGTTTGAGTATTCCTCACTTGCCTTGCCTCATTCCTTTATCTTTTGTTCCCAGGGATTGGGAATGTGCAAAGGAAATAAATAGCTTGAAATTAATAGGAATCAGAAAATAAGGTAGCAGAGCTGCAAATTTCTAGTACAAAGACTGCATACTATAAGACTCGAGTTAATGGCTTTTATAATCTATCTAAAAGCTTATTCTGTTTTTCTAGCCTCAACCAGGAGGCTTTGCCCCTCAAGGAATACTTGGCACCAGTGTCTGGATGCATTCTTGTTGTCTTGATTTGGGGGTAATGGTAGCATCCATGGGCATATAACTAAGGGTGTGATTCCACTGCCATTTAATAAAACCAACTTGAGAGATGGCGTGATAGGAGAAAAGCTTCACTGGCCATGAGGATGTCATCTTGCTGGGGTCATAGGCACAAAAGCTTATACAGGGCTTCTGAATAATCTAGTTCCCGCATGGCCAGCTGAGTGCCAGAATGGTCGTAAACTCTTGTGTTAACCAACTCTCTGGACCTGGTGTTGCTGATGTCCACAGGTCACTGAGCATCCATGTAAATATAGATTACTGCTCAGAAGGCTGCATGACTGGTGGTGTTTTGGGTTCTTTTCCTTTATTCTTCTCTTTGAGGAAGATTGATTTCATTGGCCTATTCTTTAGGAAATGAGGCAAAAGAGAAACAGTGAAAAGCAGATTGGCTGCTGCCAGGGCACAGATAACCTGTCCACGAGCTTGAGAGGCCAAGAATGCCGTGAGTCACGTTACAGGACCCAGAACACCCACAACAAAATGTCATCTGGCTTTAAAATATCAATAGCGCTAAGTAATATACACCCTGCTGTGAATAAAAGAACATATGTGGTATTTTTTTCTTGGCACAGTGAAGACTAAGATAAACAGTAATATCTGTTGCTACTTAACTATATTGTTTACAAGAATATTTGTGTAGCTCTCCATTTGCTGTATATTTGTTTCCAAAGCTAGTCTAAAGAGGTTTCCTCAATGATGAATATTCTCCATCAAAACAAACATTTTCAAGCATTCGTGGCACCCAAAAGCTGAAATGTTCAGGCACTGAAACACACTGCTAATGAATATAAATAGACCTAACTTCTGAGCTGTACTGTACAGCCCAGAACACCTGTCTAAGAAATGTCATCTAACTTCATGTCTAGGAAACACTGTTCTTCATCTTTCTCTTTCTTCAATACATTTTAATATATACTTGGGCTAAGGTGTATTTCCCACTTTCTAGAGATGGTTTACTATCTTTGAAATATTACTGAAATTGATATAAACATTGCTATTTTAAATCTATAAATAAGTTAATTCTCTCATGAACTTAGATTATGGCTGACCTTTGACACAGTCTCATCTCAACCTACATGGAAAGGGTTTTTAGTGGATATTCATTGCACAAAATTATGGGTTATTGTATTTTGTTTGTTTGTTTGAGACAGGGTTTCTCTGTGTAACAGCCCTAGCTGTCCTAGAACTCACTTTGTAGATCATACTGGCCTCAAACTCACAGAGATCCACTTGTCTTTGTCTCCTGAATGAGGTTGTTGCAATTTTTTTCATGCATAAAATGTACTTTGACCATAAGCCCTCATCATCCTATCTTCTCATTCCTATTGGTCCCCTTTCCTCTTTCCAAGTAGTCCCCCTTTTATTTTCATGGCTCACAGATGTATTTTTGTATATAAGAGGAATGTGTGATATTTATCTTTCTGAGTCTGACCTATTTCACTTAGCATGATGGTCTCCAGTTCCATCCATTTTCCAGCAAATGTCACAATTACATTCTTCTTTATAGCTGAATAAAACTCTATTGTGCATATATATTCTTTATTTTTCATGAGTTGGACACCTAGGCTGAGTCTATAAATTTGGTTATTATAAATAGTACCATAAGAAACATGGGTGCACTGGTATCCACAGAGAATTCTAAAGGGCAAGCAGCAGGTTAACTTTTCTTTTGTCCTGGACAAGTCAGCCACCCCTTCAGTCACCAACTACCTGAAAATAATTTCTCCATACCAAGTAGCCTACAAGAACCATAGTGCTTAATGTTATCAGTGCTTAGGTAGAGAATGCTAGCTGCTAGACTGAGCAAGATTATCTTGTTATACTTCTTTTATTTTCTGGAATGCTGACAGAGAATTGTCAAAAAACTTTGAGGTTTGAGGACTTAGCTTGAATCTAGTCAGTAGATGATGGATTTGGGAGATCTGTGGTCAGACAGAATGACACGTGGGCTAGTCAGTATTCTACATGTGGGAAGTCTGAAGGAGAGACAGGCTGGTGTTGTTCCAAACACCTTTAGCATTTTGTTCAGCATAATTGGCATGGCAAAACGAGCCAAAAAGTCCATTCAATGTTACTTTTTGCAATTAGTAAATGTTATATATCTGTTGGTTCAGTTCAATGAGGTACTTGGCTGCATATCGCTACAGTATTGAGTACGTTGGCATGTGGCTAATGAGACTGAATAGCTTCAATTTGAATAGACTTTGTGCCTATAAGCTGTCATAATAAATAACACTAGTCTAGAGTAAATATTAACTCATTGTTCTACTTTTGTCTCTATCTTTTGCTGGGAATTGAACCCAGGGTCCTGCACATGCTAGGCAAACTCTCTGTCATTGAGCTACATTCAAACATTATTCCACATTTTTCTTATAGATATCCTGATTCATTTTTTAACTGTAAATTGTAAAATAACCATAATTTTATGAGCCTAACGTAATAATTATATAGCTAGTAAATTTTTTAGGCCTCTTCTATTATTTTAGATGAATAGGAGATTGTTTTCTCTTTTAATCAGCTTTTTAACTTAGCATTATAAATCTATATTTGTGGTGCTGAATAATTTTCACAACACTCAGATTTAATTATCACCTATTTTTCAGACTGTTGTATTCTAGCTTATTTCTGTCCTTTTGAAATTTTAAGCTATTTCATCTGTTGCCTGCCTGTATGCTTCTTTTGGCTTAATGGTCTTTATAAAATAGTGCTATGGTAAACATATAAAAGCATGCTAATGTTTCTCATCTTTAGAATGCATTGCTATGCAAAGTGTTTAGCTTTCCACAGGGACAGATTTAGAGGGTGGAGCATTTTACTTCTTCATATTCATTGTGCAGTAGTCCTCTTCCAATGCACTTGTGAAAAACGGACTTTAAAGCTGACAAAGAAAAGAAAGTCATTTTTTCTCTGTGTAGCACAATTAATTTGATAAATTATGAGACATATCAATGCATTCCTTCTGATATGACAATAAAATGCTAATATAATGTGACACTGGTTGGGAGTGATGACAGAGATCTTTGCTTCCCAAATGCAGAATAAGTTCCCAGGCATGAACTTAGAAAGTAAAATATATTATATACTGTTTAGATAACCTCTCCAATCTCTCCAGAAGAAAGATTAAAAGAAGCTTTAAAAAAGAACCATAAAAGCCACTCTATTTTGTTTTGTTCTGTGTAAATCCACAGAGATAAACATTTGTATCTCCTAGCTATCCTATTTATAAAAAGATATGAACACAAAGCCAGGAAACATTCATGCATCAGGCAATTAGAGCTTCCCCTGGGGACTTTGGCTTAGGACATTTTATAGTTTGCATAGTGACAAAATGTCACATGAGCTAAGATTTTTCTCTTAGAATAAATTCTGTATTCTAATAAATCTGATCATCATGAGCAAAAGGACTCCACTAATAACACACATAAATAAACCTAAACCACAACATTTGGCATAGCAGAACCTAGAAAGTCCAAGTTTTCTCATTAATCATAAACAGAACTTTAGCTCCTGTCATGTCATTCTTCACTTGAATGGAGATTTGCAGTTGGGAGACGGGATATGGACCACACTAGCCCACACTAATTAAACATTAAGCAGCTCGATCAACTACAGTGAAAACACAAACATAAATATTTTAGGAAGCACTGTTTGGGCAGTGTATATCTGAAACATAGCTTTTAAACTGACCCAATAGTAAGAGATCAAAATCTTCACCCTGTCTGTCTGTCTGTCTGTCTGTCTGTCTGTCTCTCTCTCTCTCTCTCTCTCTCTCTCTCTCTCTCTCTCTCTCACACACACACACACACACACACACACACACACACACACACACACACACACTGAATTTAATAACATATGGTATGGATTATTTTTCCTTTACACACAATGATACTACTACCAAGACTGGTAAAATAACCATGTTAGGGCTTTTATTTATCTTTGTCTTGGAAATGGAGCAGAAGTCTCTGGATGGGTTGGTGGTCAACAGGACTTTGTTCATAGTGTAAATAAAGCACACTACTAGATAGTTTTTTCCAAAACAATAATGTTTGTACTGGAAACGTTTGAAAGATGCTTGGGAAACAGCCACCACTTTGGGGGTTATCAAGAGAAGACACTTAAAACCTCACAGGCTTTTCTCTACCACCTAGCTGATTGCTTGCTTTCCTCATAGCAGCTGCCAATCTTTTTTTGTTTGTTTTCTTTTGTTTTTTTGTTGTTGTTGTTGTTGGTCTGAGACAGGGTTTCTCTGCATAGCCTTGGAACCTATCCTGGAACTTGCTTTGTAGACCAGGCTGGCCTCAAACGCACAGAGATCCGCCTATCTCTGCTTTCTGAGTTCTGGGATTAAAGACATGCACTACTATCACCTGGCCTGCAGCTGCCAATCTTTAAAGACTGCCTCTAGTTTTTATATTCATATACATAGTATATTATTATGAAACCAGCTCTGCTTTAAAAAAAATACAGTTCCAGGGGTGTAGACTAATGGTAACCATTCTTCATGCCACTGTGTCCTGTTACTCATATGGGCAATGAGAGGGTGTTTCAAATTGCTTGTGCAGGTCTGTTGTGTTGAGTAAATCTCAGGTTGAAGGGTTTCTGTTTGCAGCTAACAGAATTCATAACTTTATTTTTATGAATTACAGGTGGTTTTCATGAGCCTATGCAAAAGCTTTTGGGACTGTGGACTTGTGGCCTTAGATGACATTACCATACAATTGGGAAACTGCCGGGCTCCAGGTAAGAGAACTGTTAGTCATTTCAGCTGTGTGTCTCTCTGCTCTGTGATGGACATTTTTAATTTGTCTAACAACCTCATGCATTTGATCCACGCTATTCTATCGCTTGCTTTTCTTAATACACGCACTCTCACAGAGTTTTGTAGTAGACTCTACAAGTTGGAAATGAGGATTCCACTGTTTTGTGTGGCTTTGTATGTATGGCTTGGCTCCTTTTCCTCATTGTAAGGAAAGTTAGCAATACCTCCCTGAATGTTGGGGACAATGTATATACATTCCCTAGCTTATGAACTGCCTATAAATAGCACTTCAAAAACAAGTGCCTTCTATCTTAACTAATATTATTATTAACCTTGCAATTTTGGAGAATGCACATTTTCAAGTAATATTGGTGGCATTGCTATTTCACAAATACTTGTGAGACATATAGCATTAAATTTTTAATAAAGCTGATATGTTCTAAGTCAATAAGTGACAGTAAAACAATAGACCATACAGCAGCAACAGGGGACATAGCCTTATGCTGCTGCTTATAGCGGCCTAATCATTATTTGTTGTTTTAATTTTGAGTTCCTTGAAAGTTTTGTACAATATTGTTTTGATCATATTTACCTCCCCAACTCTTCTCAGAACTACTCCTTTTCCCCTATTCTCCTAATTTTGTGGGGTTTAAAAAAAAAAAACCCTTCAAGACCAATTTGTACTGTCCAAAATTTTCTCAGAAGTGTGCTTCCACTGAAACATGGTCAACTTGTGAAGGGCTACACTCTTAGATAAATCTGGCCCTTCCCTGTCCAGCAGCCATCAATCGTGAGAGGTAGGATTGTGTGTCCACCACCCATCTGCATGCTGGGATTTAGTCTGGCTTGGACTTGCACAGGTTTTGTGTGTGCTGTCACGACTGTTTTCGGTTCATATGTGCAGCTGTCCTGCTATGTCCAGAAGATGTCTTGTAGCAGTCATCTACAGCCGCTGGCTCTTCCACCCTTTGCACCCATACTTCCACAGTGATCCCTGAGCCTTGGCATGAGGATGCAGTGGTTCTTCCAAGGACCTCAGCTCAGGCCTCTATACTCAGGAAAGAATTTTCAAATGAGTCAGAAGCAAAGTTGGAACTTATTAAGAAAAGGTTTTAACACAGATTTAAGTTCTAGTGTCAATACAACAAGATGCTTTGGAAAAGGACAGTAGACACCCAAAGCCATGGCTGTGGGGCTTCTCAAGAGAGACTGTTGGTAGTCATATAGATAATTTTGGTGGCTTCTGGAGTTACATTGTTCAAAGGATATCTAAGGACTTTTTCTTTTTTGGAGAAAGAGATAATAAGGTGGTTTCTGATGTGTACTGATAAACATAAAGGCTATTAAGAAGACAAAACCATAGGTCACAGGGTTGAGGGATTCCTTATTAGTTGCAAGGAGGTTGAGACATACTTTGTCTGCAAACTAAGTTCATAATCTTGTGAGATTCTCAGAACATAACATATTTGCATCTGGAAATGGAGTAAGTTTAAATTTAAGTCACATGCAAGCCTTAAGCAAGGCTCACTGCTATTTTAGCATTATTATTTAAAATAGTTCTAGAATTGTGTCAAATCTTCCACTCTCGGCTAGCTTGAAACTTCAGCCAGACTCCAGAATGAGCTCCCCCCCGGCATTTCTTCATAATTTCCCCTTTATTTTTATCTTACTTCAGACTAAGCATTGATGATAGTGAGAAACTAAAGTCATGGTAGCTAGTAGCATGCTAGATATGGCGGGCAACGAGTAAACAGTGCATACCTCAAAGATGCTCAGTATTCTTCTCTTTAACAAATAGCCCAAGTGTAATAACAGTGTGATACTGGAGAATAGTTGAAAATTGTATGTGGGCTGGTGGTCCAGCTCAGCAGCAGACACTTCCACAGCTTACATAGGCCTTACACAGGCTCTGGGTTTATTCCTCCTGCTATAAAATCAATTTAAAGGAAGACACCTTGCTTTCAGACTCCTGGTTTCTGAGTCCTTGGAAGGACAAGAGCAATAAGAATATCCACATTCAGGCATAGAACAGGGAATGGGGCCTCATTGATTAGAACTGTGTATAAAATAAAACACAAGAGGAACATAAAACAAAGGGCTATCACTGAAAATTTTACTATGAATATGGATGTAGATAGGCAGTGTACCTCCAGTTTTCAGAGCTTTGTAATTCCACTTGCACAAATTCCCAAGTTAGGGGTGTGTCTTGTTCAAAGTACCCCAACATTTCAGATCTAGATTTCTGATTCTGTGCCATGATAGGATCCATGATGGAGCACAGATTAGCTGGAGGTAAGGCTTGGTAGGCCACCGGTGGGGGTCTGCCTCTCCATAGGCTTGACATATGGCCAGACACCTCTCAGACATGCAAAGTGGGAGGCTAGGATCCTTGAGGAAATACATATTCATCGACTGTCTCAGCAATTGCAACACCTCCTGCTTCCTTGCAGAGAGACTTCCACCTCCACCTGGAGAGTGCACTTTCGATCAAGATGAATGTGCGTTTACACAGGAAAAAAGAAACCGGAGCAGCTGGCACAGGGGGAGAGGAGAAACCCCCACCTCTTACACAGGACCCAAGGGAGATCACACTACTGGGGTAGGTGAGTTATGCCACGTGGTGCTGTTTCCTAAGAACATAACGTAGCATCCGAGCGGTCATTTGCTGCATTTTGAATGTGCAGATTTATGTCTTGTGACTAGAATGAACTACACGTGATTCTACACACATGAGAATTTTTTGAAGAGGCTTATTGGAAAATCATCTTTTGTGTTTATAATTCTGATTAATGGATAGTGTTGCAAAGATAATTTAGAACTAGGTTTTAAAAACTGAAAGAGGCACAAAAGTCGGGAGAAAGGAGTTAATCAGAACTGGAGCTGAGGCTCAGTACATAAATGTTCAGGCAGATTGGGAGCATATAGATAAGCTCACCGCCGTGCTTTCTATAGCTGAAACAAAGACAGAAAATTCACCTGTGAATTGTGATTCACTGTGTTCTTGGGATAAAGCAGGGGGAGCAGATAGCTGGAGGTGTAGATAATCAGGTTTGACCTTATCTGTCTCCCCTGACCCCAGACGAGGTCTTGTTCAAGCTCGTCTGGAACTTAGGATCTTCCTGCCTCAGCTTCCTGAGAGTTCCATGATGGAGATATATGCCACCATGCCTGGCTAAGGAGTATGTTTTCAACATAGAATGTGGAAACTGTAATAGGACAAATTCAAGGTTGATCACCCTATTACTACTGTATGTCAGCAAGTTAAAAACAGTCAGTGGGCAAATATGTCCCCATTTAATATGTCAGTTAAAGCACAACCTTAAGTTCAAAGAAGGAAAACTGTCCCTGAACTAAACTCACAGAAATCCTTGACACTAAGCTTCAGGGTCCTTAAAGAAAAGTCAGGAGGCTATGGTGGGTTATACTGTGCTTACCTTATGACTAACCTCAAGATAAATCTATGACCAAGTACCATGAATCAACATACAGTGTATGTAACCTTTCTTCTGAATTAGCCAAACTTGGTAGAACTCAATCACAAATAGCTTCATTTTTCTTTCTATCAATCACTTCAGTTATATCCTGAAGACTTTTCTCTCCACTCCTTGGTAAATCCCTTAACTCCCAGTTCTGCTGGGGTATTAGAATAGTCATAATTCAGACATGTTAAAAAGTCTAGTCCAAATAAAAAAACTTCCATTTCTCATTCAGTCAAAATGCTGCTGATCTCTTCAGCTTGGCTTTAACTCTTATCTCAAGAAGATAAAGGAGAAGATTGTCTAGTCTTTAATCTTTATTTCATCCCCTACCCTGCCTTCCCTGTTTGTCATCCTCTAGTCAGGGCAGGGAGAGGAAGAATTAAATGAAAAAAAAACTTTAAAATATTTGGTGCTGTTTTAAATTCTCTCTTAGCTATTGACTGTTCCCTCATTGTGACAAATGTCAGTGCTGGCCAACTGGAACTTCTGCAGCACACCATTCCTGGGAGTGTCCCCTCTGCCTAAACCCCCAGAACCAGCCCTTTGTACTTGCTGCCTCCATATTAAGGTACCCAGGTTTTTCTGAACATTCCTGCTTTGTTTGAAGAGCACTCGGTTCCATCTGCCTTTCCAGGGTGTCCACTGGCCTCGGAAACTAATGCACTGTCACCTGACATGTGCCACCCAGTGCCACCACTGCCCTTCTTCTATGCTGCTTTGGTAGACTCAGGAAGATTGCTTCCTCAGAGAAGGATGTTGCTGAAGAGACTCAGCACTGGCCAAAGGTAGACCAGATGTCCACTTTCGGTATTCAATAGTGGTTCTAAAAGAATTATGAGGCCCATTAGGCTCCATCTGAAAATGCATCAGGAAGTTACAGTGATAACCAGAAGCCATATGATAACACTCATAAAACAGAAACTGAACTCAGACAGATCTAAGTGGACAAGGAATCCTTCACTGAACTTTGAAACAGGAAAAGGTCAGTTCAGGCACATTCTGATGCAAGGGATAAACTATATAATCAGGGGACCCTTTTCTCTTTTTACCTCTCTGTGCTGGGCTTTCTGGATTGGTTCCAGTCTCCAACAGGATATTCTATCATGTAAGAAATTGGCTCCAGCCGAGGCAGCCTCATGGACTTTCAACACTGAATTCTGCAGAAAGGGATAACTCTGATGAAAATCTCCAAACTAGGCCCTGCCCCCGTTTTTGAGAAAGGGTATTACTGTGGAGCCCTGGCTGGCCTGAAACTTGCTATTAGACAAGGATGGCCTTAAATTTACAAAGGTCCACATTCCTCTGTCTGCCTCACAAGTGCTGGAATTAAAGGCCTGTGACACCATGCCCTGTCAAACTGAGCCTTATTGACTCTGAATAGCAATGTCATGAGAGCTATAAAACCACTGAATTCCCACAATACTTAATATTGAGACTTGCACAGGATAGATATGCAAAAAAAAACCTCTATGGGATAAGTGAACAAATGAGTGAATGAGTGAATGAATGGATGAATAAATGAAAGCCTTCACTGAAACAAATAAGAATAATCATTATTTAGCAAGACCTCCAATAACTAGCATGGTGGTACACACCTATAATCCCAGCACTCAGGAGGCTGAGTCAGGAATATTACAAATTTAAGGCCAGCCTGGGTCACATAATGAGATCCAGGCCACACTGGGCTATATATCTCCTGTCTCAAGACAAAAACACCAAAAACCTCTCTAGAAAAAACAAGATTGTGAGAAGATACTATTTTTAATATCTGGTACAGTAGAGAAGAGCCAATCAATTTTGCTCATCTGTTATAAGATCCCCCCCCCCCCGCCCCAATAAAAGGTTGATAGTTTTTATTCCTTTTATGCAGACATAAAGAAGGCTTCAGTTAGAGGTATGAAAAGATGTTATCAAAGATAAGCATAAGATGACTTCAGGGGGAGGTATTCTGGATAATGAAGATGATGGAATGCCTTGGACATGGAAGACAGAGTAGAATCAAAGCAGTAAACAGTGAAGGTGCCACTCCTGGAAAGAGCAAAGGGAAGCCAGGGCTAGAAGAGATCCATGGGTTTTGGAGTTGGGATAACCCAACATATTGCATCCATTGAGTATGGCATTAAAAGAGCTACTTAAATTCTCAGTTTCAGCCTTGACATTTAGAAAATAAGAATACCTAAAACTACTTACTCATTTCCATAGTTTCAAGGAGTGGTCCAAGATGAAGGCGTCCTCGTGGTTGCTTTCCTTTGGCCTCTCTGCCTTGCAAGTGGCCATCTTCTTGCTGCGTCTACATATGGTCTTCCCTCTATGCCAACACATCGCTGATGTGTTCTTATGATACTTGGATTGAATCAGGATCTACCCTAACAATCCTCCTTTAATTCAGTTACGTCTTTAAAAAAGCTCGGTCTCTAAATGTAGCCACACTCTGATAGACTGGGGTTAGGTCTTTGTCCTGTGTGTTTTGCAGAGATGTAACTTAACCCGTAGCAGGCTCCCTCCCAGGAATCAGTGTCATGGGCCGCATATCAAAGGAGGAGGAAAATTCTTTCAAGTTAAATGGGTGACAGCCCAGGCTTGCTTCTGCTCCTCACAGCTTTATGCTACAGTCTAGGCTTGTCTGACTCATAGAACACCTCCTCACCCATTCAGAACTCTAGAAAACTTACCAAAACCATGTGCAATATATATCAAATAATGCATAATTTTAGTCCTTTACTGACATTACTGGGCTATGGGGACATATGTTAATTAACTTGGGATGGCTTTGTTTGAAGATGGTGTGGTTGTGTTTTCTTTGTCTCTTTGAAAATTCAAAGAGTGTTTCAGCTGGCTAGGGTGAAACTTCACAGCAAAAGAATGAATGCAATGTTTCTTAGGGAACTCCATACCTATTCTGAGTGAATACTAGATATATTAAATGAAAGTCTCTGGTGCACAGTGTAGAGAATGTGGATTTTAAAAAATAAATTATTTACCTGGTTCAATATGAAATTCCAAAAGATTCTCAAGATGTCTTTCAGATTTTTAACTAATAAAATATTTTGGAATCTATCTTTTTATTCCTGTGCATAACAATGCAAGTAAGAAAACAAATTCTACTATTCCATGCACAAGGTACCTATAGATATATAGCATTTGGTTAGGGCTGTCAATTACTTTAATAACCCTTTCACTGTAAAGCTAGGGATCATTTGTTGAACATTTACCCTGGGCAGGCTCTATGCCTAGAATATTTATACCCTCCCTATAATCTGTAAAGTAAGTGAAAGGTCCTATTTTTCAGACAGAGAAATAAAAGCTTAGAGAAGTTAAGTGCCCTTTCAAAGCTACATAGTAGTAACTGTTAGAGCGGGGACTGGATTTCAGGTTCATTTGGTTCCAGTGACCATATTCTTTCCACACTGCCTCACTGGAGTCTCCTAGCCTACATGACATTGACACATCACACATGATTCATAATGTGTTTGTCCATCAGAAATAATCTACAGGTTTCCTGAACTACTTCTAGTGTTGATAGTCTGGTATTTTGAGTGTAACTCTAGGCGTGCACCCCATACTCCTGTTGTCTACCCTCATACATGGAAAAGTAGCTTTCTTGTCTCCCAGCCTTTAATAGTGTGGGCTAAATAAGGCTGATATATGAGCTCTCAAATAAAAAAGAGAGAAGTGTAACCCACTCAAAATGAAAGCATAAACAAAGACTCTTCTAAAACAACTGACTGGTGTTTTCTACACATTTATTTAATGAGAGAGAGAGAGAGAGAAAGAGAGAGAGAGAGAGAGAGAGAGAGAGAGATCACATGCATGCACATGCCACAGTGTGAGTACGGAGGTCAGAGGACAACTTTCTGGAATTTGTTTGGATTCCAGAGACTGACTGAACTCAGGTCATCAGGCTTGGGGGAAAATATCTTTACTCTCTCAGCCATCTCACCAGCCCCCAAACAACTAACTGTTCTAGCTACCAGCGTCAGAAGCTACATGCATATAAGAATCAAATATCTTAGAAATGGGAGTTACCATTAATATCACACAATCCGGGGTCCCCACTTGATTCATTCCATATCTTCTGAGCAGTAAATATTCATTACATACAAAAAAAAAAAATCCAAATGACT